GTAATAACATGTTTGTGTTCATTGTTGTGTAATAACATGTTTGTGTTCATTGTTGTGTAATAACATGTTTGTGTTCATTGTTGTGTAATAACATGTTTGTGTTCATTGTTGTGTAATAACATGCAGAAGGTCACAATCACTGTCTGATGTTGATGGTGAGGATGACTCTTGGTTTGGACTCTTGACTCTGGTGTCTTCAGTCTGGGTTTCCAGAAGGTGGTGACCATTGAGCAGCTCTCAGAACAGCACCCCCTGCTGGACATGGTGGAGCACATCCAAAGACCCCCAACACCTGTGAGTCTTTATGGAGGCAGAATCAATCCCACTCCTCTTTTACCTGTCTTTCATTAAGTCATTAGATGAAGATGTTCCCATGGTGCTACCAGACCAAAACAGATATATATTCTAAGCAGCTCCCTTCAGTAAGGAGCAGCAAACCTCCAGAGGGAGGTGTCCAGGAGCCATCCCAATCAGATGTCTGAACTACCTCAGGTGACTCTTTTCAATAAGGAGGAGCAGTGGCTGTACACCAAGCTGCCCCAGATCTTGCAGTTTCTTGCCTTACGAGTTTGGCCACCCTAAAGAGGAAGTTAGTTTTAGCTGCTTGGATCCAGGATCTGGCCATGAACTGTGGTCTTGGTCTTACAGAACTCCCAACACTGAGGTGCTCATGCCACACCTGCCTGACACCTCCCTCTGTGGGAAACTTCAGAGGTGAGCATCCAGTCTCTCTCCAGGAGCTGGGTCCAGCTTTCTTCTCATGACTGAGATGACATTTTGATGCACATAGTGAGTTTATGTCACCAGGACCTGGTGGGTCCGAGGACCCCCACCTGCCTGCCACATGGCTCATGTCACACCTAACCTAGTCTCCAGTAGAAGTTCCTTCTTGTCTTTGTTCTCCTGAAGTCTGGGAACCAAAGCTTAACCAAGGTTCTCCTTCCACATCTGATTTGACAAACTTATCAGATATTATGAAACATAATAAAACATTTCTAAATATCTTCTTTGTGATTCATTATATTCGAACTAAATTAATGTTTTCTGGTTTGAGAGCTCAAAACTTTAGAAAATACACTCACCGGCCATTTTATCAGGTACACATGTCCATCAGCTCATTAAAGCAAATGTGAAATCAGCCAATCACATGGCRGCAACTCAGTGCATTTAGGCATGTAGACATGGTCAAGAGGATGTGCTGCAGTTCAAACCGAGCATCAGTATGGGGAAGAAAGGTGATTTRAGTGCCTTTGAACGTGGCATGGTTGTTTGGTACCAGGTTGTCTGGTCTGAGTATTTCACAAACTGCTGATCTACTGGGATTTTCACGCACAACCATCTCTAGGGTTTACAGAGAATGGTCCGAAAAAGAAAAAACAACCAGTGAGCGGCAGTCCTGTGGGCGGAAATGCCTTGTTGATGCCAGAGGTCAGAGGAGAATGGGCAGACTGGTTCGAGCTGATAGAAAG